AAATCGCATTTACAAAAATCCTGTTCCTTTTGGTCTTGGTGGCCACCATTCATCTTTTACCACTGCTTTAAATGAAGTCAGGGTCAGAAAAAAAGAAAAGACAAGTTTGTGGAAATCTCTTCTGGCAGCATCAATTGCTTCATGATTTCACCCAGAGAGTGATCTATGGCTGATGTAGGAACCACATTGCACTCATTACAGAGAAAAAACAACAGAGATACTGGGAGAACTGTTCATTCTGTTACATGTGGTTAATTAATACTATCCATCACTGTTCCAAGTCAACAAAAACTTGAATGGGTTTTAAGGCCAGCAGGAATAACTGTAACTGTCTAAAATGACTTTTCCCACAGCGCAGACCACAGAACACTGTTTGATACCATCTGAATCAAGACCGAGCTGGGGAATGAGCTGAGTCGCAGGCTTGAAGAAATGCATTCAGCCTCAGCTTTCAAGCTGCAAGTGATGGAAAATCCTTTACAACCCCAAACCAATCACATCAGCCATTAAACATCCTCACTGTTAAAACATGCACCTCACCTCTACCCTGATTTCTCACAGATTCAGTTTGTAGCCAGTGCAGTTTTTAGAACCATACCTGAGAGATTAAAAGTTAACTATTATCAGAAAATATTTCCCCCATAAGGGATTGCCAACTGTTCCTAACCCTCCTGGTGCCCCCTGCTCAGCTAGGAAGGTTTCCCAGACATAATTCCTGTAATGGTTTTCTGACCATATTCCAACTGCTCATATTTATTTTTAATTGAAACATGAACAGCAGAACCCGACCTAGTCTGTGAGGATTTTTCTGTGCTGAATAAATTGGTGATACTAGCTCTTTCCCTTCCTTCCTCAATATTTTTGCGTGGCTATATATACACCCACACCTTTGTCCATCCCTGTGCAGCAAAGCATTTCAGTTTCACTGAGTAAAACTGATGGACCTTAAGCCTATATTCAACTGCGGTCCTAAACAAAGCTTCACTCCAGCATACTTCTACAGTTAAGAGTATGTCTGGCTACTTGGCTAAATTGGCCTCATGTACAATGATCCTATGATTTCTAGCTTCCCCCACCTCTACTTTTACCTCTTCTTGCCTGTTACAGAGCCTAAATAATGGGAGGTTTTTGATGGGATGCCTTTACAACCTAAACCTCAGCAGTACATCTGTGTTGATATATTTTAACTTCCTTTCGGCATTACTTATTTTTTATCTCTTTGCATCAAGTCTCTTTCAGATGAGAGAATGTGTGAATTTCTGAATGTTGTCTATTTTCAAATAAATATCATTTGGCAGAACAGTGGGTCTGTGTATTTTGAAATGAAAATAGAGTGACAATGAAGGGAAAGAGAGAGCAATGCACAGGTTTTTAAAATGAGGAACTACAAAGATTCTTTTTGCTGCTCAGAACCATTGCAGTAGCAGTTAAATTCCATTACTTCCAATCTGCCAGCTGTGAGAGAGAAGTGTAATTTTAACAGGTGAATAAAAAAAAAGGAAAAAAGAGACAAAGCTCTGAAGGAAAAGCACAAAAGCCATTGCAAAGATAATTTCAGGATGGAAAAAACCCCACCTCAAATCTCTCAGCAAGTGACAGCTGCGGTTTTAATGGAGCAGTCTTAAAATAAGATTTATAAGCAAAACTGCCTACAGAAAGTGAAAAAAAAAAGATACTAATAACCTATAACTGTTAAAGTTTTTATCTCAGGCTCAAAAGTGTTGATGACAATGGATGGAATATTAGAACACACCACAAACACCCCCATTACACAGTTGCTGCTCTGACCTAGCGCTGCTGTGAATAATCTGGTACAAGCAGCTGTCCTGTCGCCCACTCCTACTCCACCTCTTCCCAGCTCATCATAGTCTATTAGCTTGTGGGTTTTAGTCTTATATGAAAGATGAACCAAACATGAGCCACCCCATCGCATACCAATCTTTTTTTCTACTACCATTGAAAATACTCAGGATCTCCTGATGCATATCTTTGATTTGAAAGGAAGTTTTGAGTGTTCATGAAATGTTGGATCAACACTGAAGACTGTACCACCAGTGTATGTATAGGTAGAAGTGTATCTTCAGATGATGAAACTTCCCCCAGCTAAATGATAGATATTTTTCCATTGGGATCTCTGGTGAGTAACTTCAATTCACACCAACTGAAATTCCAGAACATTTGCTAAAGATGAAATAGGTGGGAGAAGATATTATATCTTCTAAATTATGAGTTATGCAGGAGCCAGAGAGCCAAATGAAACTCTTGGCTGATAAAATAGTTTGGAAACCCCCCTCTACTTTAGGTTTGCCTATTGCAGACACTTCTGTAGGAAACATAGTAAAATTTCATTCTTTAGAAGTCTGGCATGTGAATCCTGGCAATTTTAGTTTCAATGGCTTAAGGCGTCTTTCCCAGCTGCTTGCACCTCCTCTCCACCTGACTCCATCGCACACAGCAGAGCTGTTGGGAGACATGTGCCTGTGCTTCTGCTGCTCCCAACCACAGCCCAACATCTTCACTACCAGAACAAGAGTTGTCCCGAGCCACCAGTGTGCGTGGTGCTGCTGAGCTGTGAACAGGCTATCTTATTACTTGGCTACTATTATTACTAAGAGACAGATACCTACACATATGGTTATTTAAATAGCTAATGCATACTGACTGCATGCATGTAAGTATGTATGTGCATATAGATACCATATTACATACATCATCTGTGCTGATGGATTCGCATGTATATGCACATTGGTGAAACAACAAATACAAGCTAAACAATCAGATCATCAATTTTTTACATAAAATACCCACATTTCTGGACCAGCAGCTTCAACAAGGCATGTGCAGTTACCTGTGCAATGTGTTTCTTCGTTTATAGGAATTGTAGGAGGCATTGCTTAGGAAAGCAGAGTTTGTGCAAGCAACACATTGCCTCAGCATCACATCTTTAGTCGTGCTGTTTAGAATTCAGTGGTGACAAAAGCTAAATTCTACCTCCAATATTATATATAACTCTGCCTAAACATGGAAAAATGCCAATTTCTTAAGCAAGAGCTAAAGAGAAGCTCCAGTTTTTCTTGTGAGAATTTTAGAAAATTACTTAAAAGGTTGCAGAGTTTATTTTTCTTACTCTGTATTTAGTAACTCTAACATTTAAATCTTCCTTCATGTCACTGCAGATCCAGCGAGGTAGAGTGAGTATTGTCCTTCTCCATCTGCCCGGAGAAGTAGCTGGCAGGCTCCTGAAGAATGGCTTTCTTAGCCTTCATGGTGACAAAACAGGCTGTTGAGTCAAGAATGGGTTTGATCTCGACACAGTTTTAAAACAGAATTAAGTTTTGGAGAAACTAAATCTGTAATATTTTTAATAAAAATAGCTAAAACATGTTTAAAGGAGCACCTCTGCTATGGGGACAGGCTGGAAGAGCTGGGGCTGTTTAGGCTGAAGAAGTCTGTAGGCTCTGGGGAGACCTTAAAGCAGCTGCCAATGCCTAAAGGGGGCCTACAAGTAATCTGGAGAGGAGCTTGTTATAAGGGCACATAGTGACAGAACAAGGGGGAATGACTTAAAACTGAAAGAGGGTGGATTTAGATTAGATATAAGGAAGAAGTTCTTTACTATGAGGGTGGTGAGGCACTGGCACAGGTTGCCCAGAGAAACTGTGGCTGCCCATCCCTGGCAGTGTTCAAGGCCAGGTTGGATCAGATTCTGGGCAACCTGGTCTAGTGGAAGGTGTCCCTGCTCATGTCAGGGGGTTTGGAGCTAGGTGGCCTTTAAGGTCCCTTCCAACCCTAACCACTCTGGGATTTTATGTTCTTTAAAACACAGGCATGACATCAGTGCATGGAGAGTCCAACCACGCAGCATTCACATCTGTACTGCTTAGTTTTCTTGCTGTGCTGGAGCCCTATCAAGGAGACAGATTCATCCCATGAAGACTGAAAAGAGAGAGAACTGTATTTCCTTTGCCAGGTTTCTTGCCTGTAGCACATCCCTGCCATCCAACAGAACCCTTTGAAACAGTTACTAACATAGGTTACGTTCTCCTCCCCGATAGAAGCAACCCAGACAAGTTCCATTCCCCCTACGGCAACTTTCAACCCCACTCGTTCCCAGAGAGAAGCCGTGCCCGTTCTGGGCAGCCCCGCTCGCTCCCCTGGGGATGCTGGATGGGTATTCCCCATTCCCCGCTGTGGAACCGCGCTCTTGCCTCCAGCGGCGCAAAACCACCGCGCAAAGCTGGTAAAGGCTGCGAAATAATTGCGAGGGTTTCTGGCAGGAGGAGAGGAGCACCGCAGGGCAGCCGGCCCGGACGGGGCGCCCCGGCGGCGGAGCATGATCATAGGGCGGCCGGGGGCGGAAGAGGCTGCTCGGGGAGCGGGTGTCGGGCAGCCGGGAGCAGGCAACGGGAGGCGGCCACGGGGGTTCCGCTCTGCTGCACTGGGAGCGCCAGCGGGTGCCGAGCGGGCGGAGCTGTCAGCCCGAGCGGGAGGCACCGGGAGCCGCGGGGGCGAGGAGCCGCGCAGCGCGGAGCGGCCACCTCGAAGAGCGGGAGCGGAGAGGGTACCCTGAGCAGGGTGCGCTCTGAGCCGCGCAGCAGAGAGGGCAGGCGAGAGGACGAGAGGCGGGTACCCACAGCGGGGACAGAGAACGCACTGGGAACGCACCGAACTGCGGAGCGGGGATCCCCGCTGGGAGCCGCGGAGCAGAGACCCCGCACAGGGGAACCCGCGCCGAGCAGCTGGGTGGGAAGGCCGATCAGGGGCCGCGGGGCGCAGACCCCGCGCAGGGAGGCGCGCTGATCTGCGGGACGGGGACCCCGCGCGCGGGGCGCGCTGAGCGGCAGAGTCCGGAGCCCGGTACGCGCTGAGCCGCCGATCAGAGCTCATCCGGCCGGGGTGGCGGCGGGGCGGGGGGGCAGTGGGCCCATGGGGCCGGGCGGCACTGCCTGCTCGGCGCGTCCCGGCCGCCGCCGCCCCGCCGCCGGCGGGAGCCGCCAGCCATGCTGCAGGGCGGCCGGAGCCCTCTGCCGCCGGCGACGGGACCCTCAGGCGGGGCGCGGGAGTCGGTGGGCGCCCCCGGGGCGGCGCAGGTGGCGGCGGGCAGCTTGCTGGCTCTGCTCATCCTCTGGACTCTCTTCGGGAACGTGCTGGTGTGCGCGGCCATCGTCCGCTACCGGCACCTGAGGAGCAAGGTCACCAACATCTTCATCGTGTCCCTGGCTGTCTCGGACCTGCTGGTTGCTGTGCTAGTCATGCCCTGGAAGGCAGTGGCAGAGGTGGCTGGGTACTGGCCCTTTGGGGCTTTCTGCAACGTCTGGGTGGCTTTTGATATCATGTGCTCCACAGCCTCCATCCTGAACCTGTGCGTGATCAGCGTGGACAGGTACTGGGCCATTTCCAGCCCTTTCCGCTATGAGAGGAAGATGACCCAACGGTTGGCGCTGGTGATGATCAGTGTGGCGTGGGCTTTGTCTGTGCTCATCTCCTTCATCCCTGTCCAGCTCAACTGGCACAAAGGTGGAGATCTTGTGGATGCTGGTGATATTGGAGATGGGTTTGGCACTGGCTGGGCAGCAGCAGGTGCTGTTACCACCTGGGCAGAAGATATGAGCACCACATGGGTGGCATTAGCAGCAATGAGACCCTCTGATGGGACCTCTGACAGCAATGATACCCTCACTGGACCATCAGAGAGCTGTGACTCCAGCCTCAACAGGACTTATGCTATTTCATCCTCCTTGATCAGTTTTTATATCCCAGTGGCTATCATGATAGTTACCTACACTCGAATCTATCGCATTGCCCAGGTGCAGATTCGTCGTATCTCATCCCTGGAGAGGGCAGTTGAGCATGCACAGAGCTGCCGGAGCAGCCACGTTGACTGCCACCATCACACGAGCCTCAAGTCCTCCATCAGGAAAGAAACCAAGGTGTTGAAGACGCTCTCTGTCATCATGGGTGTCTTTGTCTGCTGCTGGTTGCCGTTCTTCATCTTGAATTGCATGGTTCCCTTCTGTGAGAGCCCACCCAGTGACCCCCATGCTGGTCTTCCCTGTGTCAGTGAGACCACCTTTAATATCTTCGTCTGGTTTGGTTGGGCCAACTCCTCCCTCAATCCCATCATCTATGCCTTTAATGCTGACTTTAGAAAGGTCTTCTCCAACCTTCTGGGATGCGGTCAGTTTTGCTCTGGTACTCCAGTGGAGACTGTTAATATAAGCAATGAGCTTATGTCTTACAACCAGGACACCCTTTTCCACAAGGAGATAGTGACAGCTTATGTTAACATGATCCCAAATGTGGTTGACTGTGAGGAAAATCGTGAGGACCCTTTTGATAGGATGTCCCAGATCTCCCCTGACCATGAGATTGCCACTGACTCTGCCTGTGAGCTGGACTGTGAGAGGGAGATTTCACTAGGCAAAATAACACCTTTCACTTCAAATGGTTTACATTAAATTGCATCCTGCCCTGGTCAGTTCTTCTTGGATTATAAAACTAAATATTAGCACTGAGTTGAAAAACCTGCTTGATTTTACGCTATAGTTTGGTCGGTCACTTTGTGATAAACTCAATTCTACGTGTAGCACTTTGCAGGATGTAGACATTGTCATGCAGGGAGCTGGCAGCGCAGGCTTAATTCAGCACTTCCCCAGGCTGAGAAAGGACCATGCAGTCACATTGATTGCTGGGGTGAGGTACTGTGGTATAATTACAGTCAGTTCCTGTTTATAACATGTTTGCAAATGAAAGATGCCATTGTCAGTGCTAAGTATTGCAACTTCTAAAGTCAGGGACAGAGGTGGCTGGCAGAGATGTTAAACAGAGAAAACTTCTAGGCTGTTCATTTGTTCAGATCTTGTGTTTATTTTATCTGTTGGTTTGGGTTTGATTTTCTTCCTCTATTTATTTTTCTATTTTTTATTTTTAAGATAGTGCTATAAGGTGGTGATTAGGATGATTATTTAAATGCGTGTTTCTGCCGAAACAGTTTATGTGAAATCCATGTTCTAGGCGGCGTGGTTGCCTATGATACCCTTGCCGTGTTCCCAGATGAATAAATAAAAGTTACATTGATCAAAGGGTTATTATCTTTCATTTGTCACTCTGAAAGTTTTACAACAAGTATTCAAACTTCCATGTTTCTATTTGGAAGGTTAGAATGGCTGACACCTATGACAAAATAGTCTATATAGAAAATACAGTTTTGGAATAAAAGCAAGGCTCAGGAATGATTGAGTTAAATGAACTTTATATATGGCTCTAGTTACAGCTAGATTTATGCCTGTTTTTCTTTAATATTATAACTGATGCTGTCCCTCTCTGCAGCTAAGAACATCAACTATAGATATCCACAAGCTATGAAAACTTTCCACTTAATTCTATACTTCGATGTTTTTAAAGATGCTATTATTGGGAAGAATTTTGGTGACAGAATTAGGAGCTGGATGTGTCAAAACCCAACAATTATGTTTGAAAATGATGTTGGTAATCATATAATAATAATTTTCCAGTGTAGACATTAGTGAACTCAAACCCATCACTCAAACCACGAGAAGAAAAAAAATGCAGGGAATGTATTATGTTTAGTTATTTACTTATTAACCAGAACCTAAATATACTTTAAGTGCTTTGACTCTACAAACATTTTAAAGCAGTCTTTAAAAAGTGAAAAAGGGTATTTTAAACTCCGTTTCTATTGAAAGATTTACATCGAATGGAATGTTTTATTTAGAAACATTTGTAACCTTTCAGCTCAGAAATCAAAAGTCATCTTAGCTCCAAGACAAATGATTGAAGGTAGCAATAGTATTACCTGTATTTATTTCAAGTTTTGGCTCCCAAAATGAACAACTTCTGAATTCATTTACCCTTTAAAAATACCCATGCCATGACCTGAGCCGATTTAAATCAGATTGTAAATGCAGATTCAGTAGCATTCCCAGCCCTGACCTGGAGCCTCCCCCATCCTGCCTAACTGGGAACTGAAGGCCCCCATATAATGTAAGGTGTAGAAGCAGGACCTGCACTAGGCAGCACAGTTCAGGGGAAGTAATTAAATCAGGTGCTGGGAGTTGTGAATGTTACAGACTTACTGCTGAGCCTCTCTGAAGTTCTTAATACTGGTTTGGGGATTGTCTTACCTCCCCTTAGGGTATGGGGTGGGAGAAGTTCAGAAAGCATGTGACTGAAATCCTGTCGTGGTGTCCCCTGCTGCAGTCTGGTTTTGTCTGCAAGCAACACTTTTTTGTGTGTAGTCTTTGATATTAACTGGTTATATTATCGTTTTGGATTACCTTTTCAATTGCTTGTCACCGAAGACTGACATCTACCTGAGTGTTTTCTTTGCTGTTGACATGAAATCTTGGTGTAATATCTGTCTACAGCTGACCTCAGAAACGTGTATTGTGACTGTGGCTTAGGGAAGCTTATAAAACAGCTCTAATGCCTATAACCAGGTTCAACCTAGTAATGGCTTGACATTGAGGGGAAGTACGTCACTGTTCCTCTACTAAAGCAATCATACGTTGCCAAGAGTTAACCATAGTTCTACCTGTGCTGGTTAGATAAACTTGCCTAGAATAAAATCATTTTCCCAAATAAAAATGAAGGAAACTGCTTTTTATGGTGCCGTGATGAATTATCCTAACCAGAATTTATATTTTTTATTTTCTAGTTACTACTCACATTTTGAGCCTGGCACAGCATGTTAAACTTTCTGCATCTGTGAAAAAAGCCTATCATAACCAGGTGCAAGAGATGCAGACACCTGGCACTGACCCCAGCTCCCAGGGCAACAGCAGTATTTCATCCAATTTTGTCCGTATTGAATGAGAAGCAGCCCAGGGACATGGGGAAAGGAAAAACATGATCTGTTTCTGAGCACCTGCATGCTAACAGGCTGCGCAGTCTGATGGTGCATGTTACATCCTGTTCCAGCAGCAGAACAGAGCAGCCAAACAGTTTCAGTCTTAAGAGTGAAGAGGGTGTCCCCCCACCTCCATAAGAAGCTTTTCGTCTTCCGAATAATCCCTGTGCTGGTGGTGTGACAGTTCCCTTGGACCTCATTTACTGCAGGTGTGGTGGAGAGGTAGATGTGTACAAGAAGTGCCAGTGCATCACCCTGACAGGTGTTTTTCTTCCCATTGAGGCTTTACCTGCCTGGGTGTCTGGAATAAGTGGGTGGGCTAATGGTGGGATGCAGGAAGATGACAGCTCCATCAGTGGGTTTATGTAACAGCTTTTCACAGAATATTACAATCAGTATTATCTTAGATCTGAAGGAAGGCAATTGTTAGCATGCCCCCAGAATATGGGAGCATGATTAAGACAATAAAGAAAACTGTATTACTAATTTTTAGTTTATGACTCCAGCTGGTAAATGTGTTCTGGTCGTGGCTTTATCACAGAAACTCTGTCCTGGGAAAGTGTACCTGTCACAGGGCTTCATCCCTTGGAGTCCAGGAGCATCTGAAAGGGAACATTTCTGCTTCAAAAGACAGACAGAAGGTACTTATTGTTGCTGGAAGCACAGCTTGACCTTACGTAGCTGAAAGAAAACCCTTTCCTTGACTCATAACATAGAGGTAATTTGTTGTTTTTTTAATGTGTCCTAATTACCTACACTGGCAAAGCTACAGTATTCAGAATTAGTAAGATAATCTTTCAAAAAGAACTGTAAAAAGGGGCTGACCGTTTTAATGAAAACATCCCCCCAAAGGATTGTTTTAACTTGTTTCTCTCAGATGAAACTGCTGCCCTACTTTTTTAATGGTTTCTCTCTTAAGGACTAATGCATCTGCCTAGCCTTAGAGCAGAGTTCACTGGAAGTGCAAGCAGATTTTTATAATCCTCATATCCTTGTGGTGTCACTCTGGAACTCATCTGTGCCAATGGTTTTGTGCCTCCCATCAACATGCTTTCTTCTGTTAAAGTCACCTTGCTCCTGTCATGCATTTTACTTCCTAATTAAGCATGATCACTTGTTGCTAGCTCTGTTTTAGGTTTGTTTTCTTTTCTGTCCCTTATACTTTAATGATTTGAATGTACGGTGCAGTTTCGAGTCATCATTACTCAGTCTAGTCCTGATGGCTGATCTTCAAGGCCCCAGATTATTTCCAGTTTCTATTTCATGTTACTGTTTAGAAATCTTACCTTGCAATATGTGTCACTGTTAAATTACCTCTTGGCCAGCCAAATCTTGTGTTACAGCTTACTTTGTTGCTCCTGGATAACTCCACATCAAGGGAGGGTCAGTGTATCAGTAGCCCATATGTTTTCTGCCTGAGTTAACTGATGGCAGAGGAGTTCATTTCAGTGAAAGAACAGAACATATGAAAGTATGTCAGCTCATTTTTAAGAAGATGGGACATGGAGTACATGAAAGAGCAGTGTTTTGTGTAAAATGTTGCAAACACCATTATTCAGCCCCCTAGAGGGGGTCTTGTTAAAGCTCTGGCTTTAACAAGGGATGGTGGGTTGTGCAGTGTTTGTTATTTCTCCCCAAGCTAAAGAAACGTAGATGAACTTCTCAGAGATGAGCACAAACAAAACACTTCCCACGGGGAGAGAAATTGCTGCAATATTTTTTGTAAGTTAGGTACTTCATCCCTTTGTTTTAATTGTGTTTTTTGCCTTTGCCAGTCACATCTGGTGTGTATCTGCAGGGAGGCTGCCTACTGAGAACTCCTGTATTTTTGTAACATATATCAAAAAAAGGCTTCAGAATTAGGAAAACTTCTTGTGGAAATAACACTAAGCACAATCTTACACCACTTAGGAGTCAATCATGTGTAAACTCAGCTTTGAAGAGACTGACAACACTGGAGGCAGTGTTCAGAACATGCATCAGACATGGAGGCATGAGAGGTCACAAGTCCCTCAGCTGTTTGTGTGTGCCAAAATCACCACTCCTAATGCAGAGGGTATTTTTATCACTGTCACACAGAAGGCAGGGTATGCACCTATGTTGATGCTAATAATGATGCAGAGATTCCTTTTTCTTCTCTGGGGCCATCTTTGCTACTGTTTAATTGGATTCATCAGATCTTTAAAATTATTCAGTGCCTATTTAAATTATTAGAAGACCTCCCTGATGGATGTGGGCTTTGGTCACAGAGCAATGAAATTATTTCTCATGGCTTCTTATAAATATTACTACTGTTACTTCTTATGAACATTACTGTTGTTATTTTCTGCGAGTGGGTGATGACTTGTTAAAGTTGGCACACTGAATGGCTGATCTGGAGAAATAATTCTTTTATACAGATTTACTTATTTGTTTTTAAACTTTGTAAGGCTTTTCAGTCTTTCCAGGTGCTTCATAAAGTTCACATAGAGAAACTCCACTTTAATCAAATCTCAGATCTGCCACAACTGACTGCATTTTTAGTGCCCTGGCAACTGTATAGTGTGCTATGCTTTTATGAACAGAACAACACATTGTCGTGGTTTAAAACCAGTCAGGCAGCTCGTTCACTCACTCCCCCCCTTTCTTTCCCTCCCCCTACTCCCGGAGGGATGGAGAGGAGAATCGAAAAGAATGCAACTCCCACGGGTTGAGATAAGAACAATTTAGTAACTAAGGTATAACACAAATCACTACTGCTACCACCAATAATAGTAATGATAAAGGAAATAACAAGGGAAGAGAATACAACACCTCAGCACCAGCCGACTGATAACTCCCCCCTCCCCACCAGACCAAGCACCAAGTACCTCCTCCAGCCCCGCAGTGTACTAGCCCTTCTGGGTAACTCTCAGTTACATCCTTGGCATGACGTGCTGTGGTATGGAATACCTCTTTGGTCAGTTTGGGTCAGGTGTCCTGTCTCTGCTTCCTCCCAGCTTCCCCTCCTCCCTGGGAGAGCACGAGGCTCAGAAAGTCCTTGGTCAGACTAAAACATCAGTGTTATCAGCACTGTTCCCAGGCCAAAAGTCAAAACACAGCGCTGTCCCAGCTACTAAGAAGGAGAAAAACGACTGCTACTGCTGAACCCAGGACACACATCTCTAAGTCTGAGCTGATGTTTTAAAGGGTACACTTTTGGTCTAAAAGCACTGATGTGCACAAACACACCTATAGATG